TCATCCCTTCAGCCTACATGTGGAGGAATAGCTATGAAGATGATAAAAGTCACTCACAGGAGTTGTACTGTTTTAATGTCATCTCCCTGTGACTCCACAGTGAGGCCATTGGTGGTGGTACTGGGGCTAAGATGATCTCCAGCTTGGCAAGGCGGTTGCTAGGGCCACACATGCATTGTATCTGCTATAACTACCCACCATTCAGTAGTTTCAGCAGCCCTGGCCTCTAAGTTATTTCACTGCCCCTTACGAGTTAGCATTCAGGGCTATATTTTTAGATTGCACCATAAGGGCCTAATTGCTTAACCCAGTGTTCTGTGTATTTGCTTTCCTCCTGTGTGTTAGCACTGTCCTGTAGAAGAGAGAAGTTTAAATGTTCCTTACAAGGAAATAATGCATAAACAAAAGCAAAATTGTTAACACTTTAATCCCTGATCAACTGCCTGATCTGCACTGTCAAGTCAAATTTAGGCTGTGTATGGAGAAGCCTGATTCTACAGATTCTTATTCCCACGTATAGTCCTTATGCACATGAGGTGACCAATAAGGAAAAGGCCTTCAACAAACCATCTTCCACTTAGGAGGATTAGGCCCTGAGTTTTCCAAAAGACAGGCAGACAACAAAAACTTTCCAAGTTTTTTTTGTTGTTTAAATGCCCTTAGAAAATAAACATTCCCCCTTTCAAGGTGCTTGCACTCCAAACTTTACAGCATTGTGCATAGAGCCTGAAAATTATAGGAGGGAAACTATTCCTGAGATCAAAGAAGAAGTCAAGCAGCCCCAGCACAAGACACAATAGAGTCCATGCTGTTATATTTGCTGTGGTAAACCTGCAGATTAATGTTGTTCCACTGTTTTCTTGACAAGTATTATATCCGAGGAAACATGAAAAAGATAACATTTAAAACAAAGTTTTCATAATTGTTTGCAAGGGATTTTGGTCAGAGGATGGGGCTTTGGGGTGAGTGTAGGGCATGGTGACTGTCAAGCTGATTTTTCCATTGCCCTGCACCTTGTCTACTCGGTTACACCTGTACAAAATGAGTATAAAATGCTACCAGATCAGAAAGATAGTGTCTTACACTCACTAGTCTTTGCACTGGTGTAAGTGACCGCTGCAGGGCAAAGGAGAACCAGGCCCTCTGTAGAGTCATGTAATAATTGAGGCAGTGTAGTGTGGTGGTTAGAGCACGGGCATGCATGTCAGCAGACCTAGGTTCTAATCCTAGCTTTGCTGCAGTTTCACTCTATGACCTTGGGCAAGTCACTTCACCACTCTGTGCCTCAAGACAAGGCTTTGTCTGTTGCAAGGGAAACCAGATGCAGTAAAGCCTTCTAAACTATCCTCGGACAAAAGAATTGGGCCTGATTTTCACTTGCACTAAAGCCCTTCACACTCTTTGGCAGAGTAAAAGGGGCCTTACAGTAGATGTAAATGTCATGTATTCATTCTAAGACCCCTTTTTGCTCCCAAAGCAATGTAAAGGGGCTATACTGTAAATGAAAATCAGGCCCATCATTATCAAAGTGCAATGCACAGAAATATCTCTCAAACTAAACGTTTACATTCCTAATAACCAAATATTCTATACCATGTGGCTGCTTCTTCCTTAGAGTTTAATTGTGGAAGGAAGTTTCCAAGTGGGAGCTAATGTTTTCTCAGGTTAGGATTGGGAATACTGGGCTAGATTGGTTCCCCTTTCATTAAAGAACAGGTGGAACCCAAGTATCTATCCTGCTGTTGAAAGTCTCTCTCCATAGCCAGGTTCCTACTCAGAGCTCTGACAGCTGACACAGCTTCAGAAAAAGGGATTTTCAAGACTGAGATGACGATCCTTTCCTTAGGCAAAATCAAAGATGCTTTCAACAAACTTCAACCTTCTGAGCTTTTAATGAGGGGATGGAGGGAATATTTTCAAAGCCTGCAGTTTGCACAAAGAGCTAGAAACATTTTCTGGATGGTAGATTTATAAATTGTTAGGGATAGTCACAAACCAGCAGCATGTTGTCTGTACAAAGAGTAGACGTCTATTGCTATTAAATTCTGGGATTTGGAGCTAGTGGCTCCAAGATTGCAGAGTTAAATAAATTTGGCATCAATAGCTTGTTGCCGTTAGAATGGACTCTGTTAAAATTAAAGTGCTTTGATAAAGATGTTGATGCCCAGTAACATCCTTGAACAAATTAATAACAAACATCACTTATTCCTACATTTTCGAAGATTTTGCAGAGGATTTTGCTGCACAACCCCCCTTAGTCAATGGAAGTTGTTCCATTGAATCCATATTCCATGAATCTCTGCAAATTTAGGAGACAAGGTAAGCAAAACATCAGGCCTATTCCCAGATTGAGGAGCAGAGGCATTACATGGTTCCATTAAATACTAATTGAAACTGCCCACCGAAATCTGCTGTGCAACAGTGGGTGGATTTGACTCATCTGTGTCAACGGTTCAGGGAAATTATTTAGATTGACACTGTTTTCCTGGTTCACCAAAGGAAATTGAGCCAGGATCTGATTTTAGTTGCTCCTTTTAGACCTTTCTCCATACAGTATAATTGCTCCGTTGCATAGACATCCGTGATTAAAGAGACTGCATCTAATGTTAAGTCCACAGAGCCCATGGTGCATTCATTCATATTCACCTGTGCATGCTACTTGGCTGAAAAAAATGCAAGATGATCCTGAGACTATTTAATATACATTCTGGCTGGGATCCTAAGTATCCAATCCACGAGTAATTAAACCTACTGCAAATATGCATCGTCTCCCATAAGAAAGCATTTTGTAGTCCTACTGACTCCCTTCCTATGCTTTGCAGAAGCTGAATCTAACAAACAGTAGCGGTGTTCATTTGATGCCACAGTCATCAACTGAGATTGAACTGGGAGCTTTTACACCAAAAACACACACCTCTTCCTCTTGAGCTAAAGGAGAACTTTTAGCTGTAAGAAGCAGACTGTTTACAGACGCTGAAAGCAGAAACTGGAGGAAAACAAGGCTAAATGTGGGACTCCAATGTACTACGGCAGTATGTTATGAAGGGGTGGTCAGCAAGAGGCTTATTGGGCGAGTAGTCTGCAAACATTTGGACTGGTGGGTCTCCGTGAAAGCTTGCATTTTGTTACCCAGGAATGCCTGCATCATGCTTCGAGGTGGTGTTTTGTTATAAGAAACACAATCTGACAAGCTTTATTGCTTATGCAAAGCATGATGTTTTATGGCATTTTTAACCATAGGAGTGTATACATTATGTCTGGCTGTGATTTCTCCCCCCCACCCCCCAAGCTTCTGTCTTCTCTCTCAGAGTTTATCTACGTCACTAGAATCCCTAAGTAATGCTGCAGGCTGGTCATATACTGCCAATAGGCAGCAGTGAGCAATGTATTAGCATGTACCCCTTGGTAAATACTTGATTAAGTTCACTTGGTGGGAACATTTAGCCTTTGTTCCAAACACAGATACAGAGCATACTGAGCACTGTGTATTAAATATGTATAATCTGAACGGACAGTGGTGGGGTGAAGACCCTGTCAGAGGGGTTGGTGCAATTACGCATTCCCAAGGCAAAGCTTTTCTCTTCAGAGCAGTGACTGGCATAGATCATAGAATCATAGAATATCAGGGTTGGAAGGGACCTCAGGCGGTCATCTAGTCCAACCCCCTGCTCAAAGCAGGACCAATTCCCAACTGATGACTCAGCAGAATCAAGAGAGAATAGGGAGTGAATCCACCAGAGGTAGGAACATCATCCCAAATCTCCCGGTGGTTTGTGCCAAGAACTTTTTCACAAGATGCTCCTGTGAGTTGCCTCTCCAGCCAGTCACTGGTAGGCAGCCTGGATGGCAGAAAGGCCTGGCAATAGGGCCTTTCACAGCTAGATAATCAGCTTAAATCTAGCCCAGTTCTGAAGTGACCAAAAGTTATCACCAGCTGGTGGCTGTTGCGTGATTGATGTGAAGTGAGTGAATGAGCTCAAGTCTGGTTCTCATGGACAGAATTGTCACCATCACAAATGACACTACTGGGGGGTAGCAGCAGAGAAGTGAGAGGCATAGAGGACTGAAGAAGGATAGCAGACTGAACAGCCCTAGAGGTGATTCCTTCCAGATCAGGGTGATGCAAAGTCTTTTGGTGACACAACACTGGGGAAACTTGCACTGCTGCTGCCTATGTTGCCGCTGAAGAGTTGACTTCAATCTCCAGGGCTCTCCATCTGTACAGACTTTAATTGGGACTCAATTTACATGAAAAATCTATAACGAATTTGAATAGTGTGTATTTGATATGGTTCCTTTCGTGTCCTAATTCACGCATCTGCTAGACTTTGGGCAACACACTACAATGTATTCTCTCTGAGTTGCACCAGACTACATGCTAGAAGCTAGAAATGGAAAGACAGACAACCTAACGGAAAGCATCACTCATCTGGTGCAGGATCATTTCCCTGCAGAATATTTTCTAGTGCCTCGTCCAGTCCAGTTTGAAGTGTCTGACATAAATAAACTATCTCGCACATGATTTGCAAGAATGTGTTTGCTCATTAAATCCTAAGTCAGTCATCACAGTATAATGATTCTGTTCCTCCCCCCCCCCATCCCATCACTCCATTTTTAATTTGTGTTACCTATGTACTGTGGCAGCTCTGTGGCAATCCTAGAAAGAGCAAGTTTAGACAATGTAATTTCTCAATTTGACTGTGCCTGTTTGCTCAGAAACTGCAACAGAAATCTTGAGTTATATGTCAGAATACCCAGGAAGAAACTATTGAATGGGTAACAGAATAAACCCTAGCTGTGGGTGAAAAGGTTCCAACGTAGGGCAATAGCCTCTTTCACTCACATCAATGATAGTATTTAATATTTTCCCTGTATTGTTTCTGAACTGCATCTTGCCCCTAACTCAGTAGTCCATGCCTATTCAGAAACGTGCTTGAGTGCATGCTCAACTCTAGGCAAGTGCTTAAAGTTAAATATGTGGCTAAGAACTTGGCAGAACATTATTAGTATGGTGATTTATTGTTAGTATTGTAGTAGCACTACTAAGAACCCCAGTCATAGACGAGGACCCCATTGTGCTAGGTGCTGTACAAACACAGAACAAAAAGACAATATCGTCTCCAAGAAATGGATGTAAGCACTTTGGGTCTGATCCTGTTTCTGTTCAACTAACAGGAGCTTTTCCACTGAGTCCAGTGGCAGTTTGAGCAGGCCCTTGATTAAATGCTTTGCTGAACTTGGGCTCTTGTGCCTTATTAGGCAGGATTACCTACTGCCACAGAGGGTAAAAAGCTTCTTTTTCTCCCAACTTGTTTTCCCTTTTTCTGAGGTTTCTGAGCCAAGATGAACCATTGAATCATAGAAGGCCCATCAGGGAAGTCTGCAAAGAAAAAAAATATCATACTACTAAAGATAAATAATCATTTTTTTTAAAGAGGAATTTCAGTTTAAGCATAATTGGAGAGCAATTTTCTCATTCTTCTGTCACTGATTCAGGACCAAATATGGCTTGTCTTGTATTTTAGACAAGTGTCATTTTTGGGAGGGGGTTTCACAGCTGGGAGAAGGAAAGAAGGGATTTTTTTTCTCCTAGATATTAGTTTAAAAATAAAATGCATGGTAGCTGAATTTAAGCTGCTCAGGGTTGACTATGTCCCTATGGAGACAGACTAGTAAGCAGAGTGCAGGTGAAGTGGTCAAAAAAGCAGGATAAATTCAGTTTATCATAGGGATATCACGACCACATATGTGGTGTGTAGGTATGGCGGGGTGTCTGTTATGGTGGCAGTGAGGATCACTTTGATTAAAGAGATTAAATCAAAGTGATGCACGCTGCTATCCTAATGCAATAACACTCACTCACTCTTTCTCTAAAAATCCAGCTGATACACACTGTTACCACAGGTTTCAGAGTAGCAGCCATGTTAGTCTGTATCCGCAAAAAGAACAGGAGTACTTGTGGCACCTTAGAGACTAACAAATTTATTAGAGCTTAAGTTTTCGTGGGCTACACCCCACTTCTTCGGATGCATATAGAGTGGAATATATATATGTACTGTTACCATAGTACAATAATAGTCATACCCCACCCCGAAGAGCTTGTTTAACTCCCAGGCCTTACTTCTGCCTTCTCACAGAGGAATTATTGCCAGCTCCAAGTGTTCAAAAATCATGAGTTTGGACCACTTAAATGATATTGACTTTAAAAAATACTATTTGTTCTTTGTATTCGTCTTCTGGGTGTACTAAGGTCATGTTTTCAAGCTTTCTTTCACAACCATGAGGACTAGAGACTTACTTCAGTTCTTTAGGTGAGAAATTCTGGTTTCATTTAATCACATGACTCTAGGAGCTGGACCATTAAGCAAAACGCTAAATGTGGGGGGAGACTCAGTAAAGTCATGAGCGCTGGGAACTCTACAAAGGTGCAACTCCCATTGATTTCATAAGTGAGGGTACCAGTATGTTTCTGGAATATAGATATTTTGAGTAAAATTCAAAAGTGAATCTGAATGTAAAAGGAGTTTGTTCTGGTATAACTTACATCCTCTTCCAGCCCCCATCTTGCCCATTTCTGCCCTCACTTACACATATACAGTTCTGTACCCATGTATGTGAGGGCAGAATTGAGCCCAGTTACATGGGAATATTATAATACCTGGCTTTCATGTAGTGCTTTTCATCTGTAGATCTCCAAACACTTCACAAAAAAGGTTAGTTTTACCCATTTTATAGATGGAGAAACTGAGGCACTGAGTGACATGACTTGTCCAAGGTCACCAGGCATTCCAGTGGCAGAGCCAGAAATAGAACCCAGGTCTCCTGAGTCACACTCACATGATTTGTCCACTGGGTCACACTATTTTCTTGAGCTACAACTTAATCATGCATTGATAAACACCACTGAACCTTGTTCCCCAGCTGGGTAAATATTAGGTAGGGTGGAACTTGATTCCAGTTACTTAGCAAATGGCATTAGATGTAAACACAATATATCTTCCTTCTTATAAAAATATTTGCTTACCTCTCTGGTCACTCTTAGTATTAAAAGCACATTTCAAGCAGACTGGTTCAAAAATCGGTAGTACTTTTTTTTAGCGTAGAACTCCGGCGAGGGAGATGCATGTTGGATCGATATGTAACCATTATAGTTCCACAGAAGTAGCATTATAGTGAAGGCAGATTTGACTTGGCTAAGGGGCATAAATAGCTGAGCAGTGAGACCAAGAGAAGTGGCAACAGATGTGATTGCAATCCATACAGTTATTACAGTGTCACCCTAACAGGAATTAGGCTCTCTACATTCTATATATATAGAGAGAGTTCCTATTAAGGTGAGATTGTAATAACCCTATAGATGGCAATCACATCTATTGCCACTTCTCTTGGTCTCGCTGCTCACTTATTTATGCCCTTTTAATCAAGTCCAAATCTGCACTCCATCCTTTCCTTGCTGGGAATTGCACATTAACTTAAATTCAGCTTTATATACAGTATTTCTTTAACCAACTAACATAAAAATGGGTACAATTTAATGTGTTACTATTTTCATGTTTTAGGGGAGGAAAAAGGCCTCAGCTTTTGGGGAAAATTGTTGTAAAAATATGACCCAATGCTTTTTTAACATTTATTTTTATGAAAGAACCTGGGTGGTTGTGGTGTGTGGGTGTTTTTTTTTTTTTTTTTGTAGTCTTCAATAAACACCTTTAAGCTCCTGGGGCAGGTAAGGAGTTACTCACTGTTGCTTTAACAAGGGCTTCTTTGCCCTGGCTGAAGACCGAAATCTAAATTTAGAAAACAGAATGTTGTTGCAGATCTCCTTATTAAGACCCCTACTGTTTCAGCAAAGCCTGGACCCAACAACCCTGGATAATATGAAACAGGAGTCACTTGTATGGGAGCAGGCAACAGGAAAGGGAAATGACTTACCTGTGATTAGGGTTCTCTGAAGATGGCATCCTGTATAGGTCCCTTGGGCCTCACACTTTCCTGTGAGATTCCGGAGCGGTATAGCATGTTGAGATGGCAGTTTTTGGAATCCTTCCACTGTGGAGGTTGGTGTATGTTCCTCTACCATAGAGATGGGGCAAATACCTGAAAAACAACTTTAAGCAAATATCCACGCAGATTCATTTCTGCAGCGTTCGCTCCCTTTTTGTGTTGGCTTTCTCCTGTGTTCTGCCCAGCAGTAGGAAGAAGGGGAGGCAATGCAGTCAAGTGGACTGGATTGGGAATCAGAAGATGTGAATTGTATTCCTGGCTCTCTGACTGTCCTGGTGTGTGAGCAAGTCACTTCTGTGCCTCTGATTTCCCCTCCCACCTTCTGTCTGTCTTGTCTATTTAGACTGTCAGCGCTTTGGGTGTGGGGTGGAGGCTGTCTTACTGTGGGTCTGTGCAGCTCACTGCACAATTGGGGGCCCACAATCTCAGTTGTGGCCTGTAGGTCCTACAGTAATAAAAATAACCATTGACCATGGAGAAAAAGCTTAGTCATCTTAATAGGATGGAGGCTACCTTCACTAAAACCGTAAGAAGATACAGTGTAGGTAACAGCATGGACAAAATGAATGAGTTTGAGGACTGGTGGTTTTAATGGTAGTGTTTATGCCTAACCTCATAACCTTGGGCCTCTAGAGCTCAGGGAGAGTGATCTCTGTATAGGGAGTAGACACTGAAAGGGGAGGAAAATACCTTTTGGTTGCAACCTCCTCTATGCAATGAAGGAACAGCATTGTCTAAGGGAAAACGCCTCCATCCAGTCCTCCTTGGGCATTAGGATGCTGCTGCCGAGGCCCGTTGCGGGCGAGTTGAGGGGGCAATCAGCAGGGCTTTGGCAAAAGCTCTGAGAATAATTTAGGAATGAAAAATAAAAGAATGAGTTTAGATGCAAAATGTGCCCCTTCTATAGCCTGGGGACGGGGATGTAGGAAGAAGTGGAGAAAAGAGATATAACTTTGACCTCAGTCTTGTTTCATGAACTTCAGATCAGGCCTAATGCAGCAAAATGCTGGATGTCTGGTGTGCTATCCAGTATCCCAAAGAAATGCCACAAGGCTCAAGAATTCTACTGAATAAAACAAAATGCCAAAGCAGAACTGTGTAATTGGTGCTTTTAGCCACTTTCATGCAAAGGGCCTGATCCCAGAGCCCATTGAAGTCCATGGAAGGACTCCCATTGATTACACTGGGCTTTAGATCAGGGATGAAATACAAATGCCAAAAACGGTGTGCCCAAGTCTCCTCTCATTTTCACTGCTGTAAATCACGGGCTTCAGTGGAGTTGCACTGGCTTAGGGAAAGGAGAATCCGGGGATGTGACTCTTCTAAGGGCTGCGGATTCTCAGTAGATTTTGTCTCACTTCTGATATTTGTTTTTGCTGTGACTCTCGGGCATTACATATGCTCACCAAACATGCATAGTCTACTAAGGACCATTGCACCAGCCAGAGTGACCATGATTGATGGCATTGCATCAAGCATTGTGTAATGAAGTTCCCAGATTTGGTTCAATCCTGCAAATCCACAAATCTCAGGGGCGGCCCCATGGGTGGTGGCAGGTAGGGTCTCAAAGGAGAGTTTGAAAGCACGGTGTGCTGGACTATTTATATCCATCCTGGCGACATGGCCGAAGAGAATGCAACACTGCTTTTGAATATAATTGTAACATTTTGCACAAAGTCAAACCACTTTGTGCTCAGGATTTGGCACTATCCACATATGGAATACCTCTAGCCTCTTCAAGTCTGCCTGTAAGAGGGTCCAGGTTTCTGACCCATACCAAAAATACAGGTAGTACACAGGTGTGATAGATGTTGAACTTTGTCTTAGCGCAGAGACATTTTGGTGTCCATAAGCAAGACACAAATTTTCATGCAGGAGGCAATGAGGCCTATTCGTCAAAGAACATCTGGTTTGCTGCAACCATTTGAACTCTGCTTGCAGTGTAGGTAGATGGACTCATCAGTGCTCTCCGTGGTACCCACTCCCACCTGCACCAGGGGTTCTGGTGGCCCAGCTCCAAAGTTCTGGACCTTAGTGTTTTGCCATGAGATGTTCAACCCCACAGTGAGGTCCCAGTCTTGGAGACCTTGGAGGGTGGGGCTGAAATTCTCTGACTTTTCCACATACATAAGGTAAAAGCAGCAAGGAGATTGCTACAACACTGGACACTAGCTAGGTCAGGTAAGTGGGTGTTTCACGGGTGAGAGAACTAACTGGCTAGCTCTGCAATTTGCTATTATATGTTCTGGTTCTTTCCCAAAGATGGCAGGCAACTAATCAATGCCTGTATTAAGATGTTTAGGACCATAAACTTACATTGACCCTACGGGAACAGAGCAGTAGGAGAATAGGTGTACTTACAGAACCCTTCTAAAGACTGGCTTAGGAAAACATAGCATTATACTACATGACCCCTGCTGCTTTTTCTTTGAACAACAGGATTTCCCCAGAGGCTAATGGTGGCTATGCTGTACTGGATGGATGAAGATATAAAGACTGCAATATCAATGCTTTGAGATACTGATGTCTCTCCCTAAGAGCTCATCAGTAGGACTTGAACTCAGGCCTTTTAGCACTAAAGCGTACATCTCTCCCACTTCAGGTAACAGAGTTAGTGTCAGCGGGTAGTAGTAGTAGGCTGTTATACACTATGTGAACCAGTCACTACACAGGGACATACTTCAGAACAGTGCTCCTATTAGTAGGGCCCTACCAAATTCACGGCCGTGAAAAACACATCATGGACTGTGAAATCTGGTCTCCCCTGTGAAATCTGGTCTTTTGTGTACTTTTACCCTATACTATACAGATTTCACAGGGGAGACCAGCATTTCTCAAACTGGGGGTTCTGACCCAAAAGGGGGCTTGGTTTTTTTTAGCAAGATTATTGTAGGGGGGTTGCGATATTGCCACCCTTACTTCTGTGCTGCTGCCATCAGAGCTGGGCGGCCGGAGTGGTGGCTGCTAGCTGAGGGCTCACCAGCACAGAAGTAAGGGTGGCAGTACCATACCGTGCATTCCTTACTTCTGTGCTGCCGCTGGCAGCATAGAAGTAAGTGTGGCAATACCACGACCCCCCTACAATAACCTTGCAACACCTCCCCAACAATCCCTTTTTGGGTCATGGCCCCTAGAGTAACAACACTGAGAAATTTCAGATTTAAATATCTGAAATCGTGAAATTTACTATTTTTAAAATCCGATGGCCGTGAAATTGACCAAAATGGACCATGAATTTGGTGGGGCCCTACTCAGAAAATAATTTCATTACTAATCTCAGAAGTACAGTTACATATGACGGATGATTATGATCACATAGAAGTAATAGATTGTTTTTGTATATTGCCCAATACGGTATGCCTTGAGAACATTTTCTGCATAAAAAAAAAAAAGTGTGGGCAGAGGAGAGGAACTGATACTGTCACTGAGGGCGTGGGCTTTTAATCTCTGTCCCCCTCTCCTTAATGTTTCTCCAGGCTCTCAACATAAAGAGGAAAAACAGGACTAGAAATATTTGTTTTCCTGCGACCTTTTTCAGAAGCAGTTCTGTAGATCTTATCACTGCTATGGATGTGACAGGGACAGACAGCAATAACTGAACTGTATCGTGCAGGCTTTAGACACTGTAACTTCTTTGCATTCACCACTAGTTCCCCACTTTGTGTTCTGATGCCTTTTGAGTGATGGGTCTGAGCTGAGCACTGTCATCCTACTGAGTGCACCAGAACATTCTCCTTAATGCACCAAACAGCAGTAAGAGAATTGCCAAATTATTCAGAGAATTTAGACTCCCCCCCCCCCCCGATCATTCTTTTGCACAGTAGCATGTTATTGCAACATCATTTACATAAAGCAACTAGTGACTTGTACTGTCGGTTACGCCGTCCCCACGATCTCCCCTGCATATGAGATTTCTGTGCCACGTACTATATGAACTCCAGCTCCAGGCAAATAACAGAGTTTGTTCCTTTAAATAAATAAATTTGCAGGGATTAGTTTTAATTCTTAGATGATTGTAAACTAAGAGTAACTCATTCTAATCAGTCGTTTTCTTCCCTGTATAGATAAAGGGTAATGTTGCTAAATCTTATTAAAAAATGTCCAACTCATAATCCCAGAGACATCTGGTCACCTTTTTCACTCCCTACCTGAAGACATTGTATGCAACAAAATAATAGCCTCTCTAGGCTGGAAACATCATGATACAGAACGGGCCTGATGACACAACTCTTACTCTCACAAATAATCCTGTCAAAATCAAAGGAAATATTGCAGTGAGTAAGAACGACTGTCCAGAAACCATTACGGGTTTTCTAGGCTTGATCCTGCGAGGTGCTGCAATGGGACTACTCCTGCTTAAAATTAAACAGTTCTGCTGGATAGGGGCAGGTTACTTGGCAGCTTGCAGGAACAAGTCCCTCATGGCTGCTTATCTGAGTGTTCCAATCACCTGGATTGCTCTTCTATTTGGAACATAATCGTAATTCACGACGATCGTAAGCTGTAGCTACTCTTATTTTTAAGTGAATTCAGTTCCTATGGAAATACTGGACAGAGACCCCTGGGAATTGCAGTCCCTGATTTATCACATCAGGTACAGTGAAGGTAGAAACAGTGCAAGCTTTCTCCCAGGCCAACATGCCTTGACCAGGATAATGGAGTTACACCAGTGATAGATTTGGTCCAATAACTGGAAGGATGGAGTTGGAGGCTATTGTGCTGCAAAATTTTTTTATCTGTGCTAAGGGGTGAAATTCAAACCTATGTAGAGGAGCAAGCCAAAATCCTATACACCTCTTAAATCGCAATGAATGCCATAGTGCTTTAGTAGGACATAACTAGTGCATAGGCCTTGTGGGCTTAAATTGCACTTCAGTGATGGATTTCACCCATGCTGAATCAGATTATGGAATACAAATCAACATTGCCACCTCATTCATTGAAAATCATCAGACCCCAAACAATCATGGGGCTAGCTTAAAAATCACCAGATTAAAAAAACTCATACATTTGGAGATCTTGTTTGCTTTCTGATTTCTGAGACTTGAGTTCGCTTGCATCAGGTTTTCAAGTTTTTCTCGGCCACCACGGAGGTTAGGAATGCACATTTTAAAAATGAAAGCTGATATTCTCAGGAATTCACATGGCTCCAGGAGCTGGGGCTTTACGAAAAACACCATATAACATGAGACTTGCACGTAGATCAAAAGAGTTGGCAACACAGAAAAGCAGACTGCAGCAGCAACCTTTAGATTCTATTCCAGTACAGCATGGTAACCGAACGTTGGTCCTTTGGCACATGCATGTGTCCCAGTGCCCAGGCCCCAGCTGAGGTTTGGATTTGGTCCCATCTCTAGTACCAACTGGGCTCTTCTGCATATATTGGGAGAAGATTCACTGATCACTTAGATGCAGGCTTGTGCCAGATTCTCTCCATGGGGCTCATGATTCAACTGCCATGTCAGAGGAATGATCTGACCAAAGGGAGATGCTCCATTCTTCTGTCAGTCTTTAATCTTGAACGTACCCAAGAAACGTATTGCTCTGCTCTTGAAATCCCACATGGGGAGGGGGGTGCGAGTCTGTGTGGAAGGGATCTGTAGGGGATGTTTGTCACCCTGTGTAGGGAAGCAAAATTCCTAAACCCCAGCTATACCTTTTGGCAATGCGAAGGCTATTCTTGTCTGGATTAAAGTGAGATGAAAGCTAATCCTCAGGATTTCAGGAAGATCCCTAGGGTTTAGCATTTCACGATCATACTTTATTTTTAGCTGTAGCTTTTTATTTTTAGCTGTTCCTTGTATAAATTTGGCACCTACCCAAAGTCTCCTCCCCCTTCAGCTCCTCTTACCCTTTGTAGGTTGCATAAAGAAATGGTGGATGCTTGCTTAGTGTCTAGTCATATACCCAGATGCTGTACACATGTGAAGAACAGGAGGACAGACTGTAGGGTACTGGGTTGCACTGGCTGAAAGATGGTCAAAATGAATTCTGCTTGGGCAGATGGGCAGGTAATCGGGCTTTCCCATCTCTAATGTCTAGGGTTCTTTCATTTGGTGGTTCTCTCCACTAGCATGGGGAGGTCCCAGTCCTGATGTGAGCCCCATTGTGCTGTGTACTATATAAACACACAGTAAGACACTGTCCCTATCCCAAAGCACTTGTAGTAAGATGAAGCCCTGAAACATAAGCCTTTATTAAAGGCCCGGGATGAGGCCTAAGGCCTGAACTAAAGTAAAGGTCAAGACTTTGCTAACATAAAGCAAAGTTAAGCTGTGAGCCAGAGGCAGGCCCTGCTCACAGAAGCTGGCAACAAAAAGGCTGATGTTGCAAAAATACACATACCTAAAAGGTACCGGACATTAGAGATACCAGAACACTCCGATACTTGCACATTCCACATAGATAACAAGGACAGGGGCAAAAGGGGAATATGATGGATAGAGTTGTTTTGTTCGAACCAACAAGTACTAGGTGAGAGGCGGCACCTTACTGCGTAGAGGGGTTGTACCTTGCTACGTAGAGGGGCTGCACCTCAATACGCCAGGAGTGATGTGTAACTTGTTTGTACCTGTGTATAAGAATGCACCCCTGAGTGGATGCCTTTGTCCAGCCTAGGGGGCAGTGGAGAGTCCCGCCATTGACTGAGCCGGTCCATTGCTGGGGACACATATTCGTAGCATGTCCTGTAGAGTCTGCTGGAAACTATTACTGTGCTTCATTAGACAATAAACCTGGCTGGGTGTCTTAATATCTTATCGGAGTCTGTGGTCATTGGGGGTTCTCTCGGGGTCTGCTGTGTCAGCGATCTGCGCAGAGCCGGGGCAGCACACAGAGGGAACACACACGCAGCCGACTGTTATCAACGTTGGATAGAGCAGAGCACCACGCCGGTAGCGTCTGACAACAGCACTTACAATCTAAACAGACAAAAGATGGGAGAAAAGAAGTGGTATTATCCCTGTGTTACAGGTGGGGAACGGAGGCACAGAGAAATTAAGTAACTGACTTAAGTGGAACATCTATGGCAGAGCTGGGAATTTAACCCAGATGTGCTGAACTGCAAGCCAGTGCCATCATCCTAAAACCGTCCTCCCTCTCCAGCCTCAAATGTTTGTGTGGTATCTGTGTAACTCCAAAAGGTGAGTCAGCTCAGCGTTTATTTTCAATCACCCCTAAGAACATCCTCTTTTAATCGCTGTGGAATGCAAAGATACGGACCAAATTCTGTTCACTGGTACCCCAGTTTAAAGCCAGAGTAATTCCACTGAATTCAGTTGTTATTTTGCATTTACACTGGTATAACAGAGATGCAAGGCTGGCCCATTGTTCTTTCTTTCTGGTGTTGGAATGTATAAGCCTAGTGGCTCTATAAGTTACATCTTTAAAAGAAATAATTTTGCTGTATCACGTCTTTGCCTCCCTTATTTGCATTTAATTAGAGAGAAAAGCTTTCTATAATCACAAAGGGCTTAATTCTCTCCCCATTGCTGGTGTTGCTTTACTGAAGTTAATGAGAGTTGAACTGATGTAAAGAGAATTAGACCCAAGAGAGTCACAGCTTTGTTGGCCAAACAAACCTATACATGTAGCTGAAATAGTAACTTGCTTTAAGCTACCCATTAAAAGGTTCACATTGATATCATGGAAAGTCAAGTTCACATCTACCATCTGGATCAGCTGTAGAGCACACACAAATCTGTGAAATTAATTGAATAAACTGAGAATTGTCCATGAACAAAATGGGGGGAAAAAGTCAAATGTGTTTATGGCTCAACATTATTTGTGAATTTCCTCACTGAATACTTCATGCCCCACAGATCAGTGCAGATATTCAGAGTTCACACTGAGCCCACAACAAGTCTGTGGCAGATAGTGCTAGAACCAGGCATTCTGTGCATTAGCCACTACATACGATTCCTTTAGTTATGTTGTGGTTTGGGGATAATAGCATTTAGGAGCCCAGAGATTAAGTTGAAAAATAACATCATCTTATTCAAACTACACAAACGGGATAAAGTTAATTCCAGGTCTCAGGGAGTTCCCTTTTTTCATTACATTTCACCAGCAGGATATTGAGTGACAGCTCAGCCAATGAAACACAAGACAGGAGTATTGCATCATGGGCTGATCATACCCCCTGAGGGCAGCATGGTGTTCACTGGACCTCTGCTCAGCAACCCAGCAGTGTTTGTTGCAAATAGCCCCTGTTGGTAAGTATCACTCTTGCTGCTGACTACCGCCATCTTGCTGTCTGCATTTTATCATCCTGCCTCCTTACAGACATTCCATTTCATTACTGAAAACAAAGTACTCCCTTACCACTGTCAGGTTTGTGCTACCCACAGAATTCCCTTTATACTTGTTGTTTAACATTTATACTGCAACAGCACCTAGAGGTCCCAGCCAAGCCTGGGACCTCAAAATCCCACAGCAGGTTGGTAGCAGACCAAGGAATAAAACCCAGGTCTCTTGATTCAGTCCAATGGCATGCCTACTAGATCATGCTACAGTCCCATTGCAAATCTATAAAGCAGAATCAATCAAACAGTTTCTGGTATCCAAAGCTCTGAGTTATTGATAAGCAATATACCCTACTATACTCCTGGGTTTTATATATTCAATTAATTATAAAATAACTTAGCATAGGGTTAAGATACAAGAAACCTGAGCCTTGGTCTTCTATTTAATTTTTGGATAACAACTCAGTGTTTAAATTCTATGGGCCAGAGTCTGTTTTCAGCTACACCCATGTAAATGGTAGTAACTCCATTGATTTCAGTGGATTTACTTTGATTTTTATCCCAGTGTAACTGAGAGCAGACTCCGCCTCTGCTGCCACACACACACACACACACACACACACACACACACACACACACACACACACACACACACACACACACACACACACACACAC